GTAGTGGGGGACAGGGCTTGGGTGCAGTGTAGAACACCCTATAACAGGGGACTTGGGGTGCGTATGGTATAGAGGGGGCTTGGGTACAGCATGGAGGGGGGAGTGGTATGGCAGGGGCCTGGGGGGTAGGTGCAATATAGAGGGGAGCAGTATAGCAGGGGGTTTGGGGTGGGTACAGTATAGAAAACTGTATAGCAGGGGGCTGCTGGTGGTTGCAATATAGAGGGGGAGCAGTATAGCAGGGGATTGGAGACGGGTGCAGTGTAGAAAACCCTGTAACAGGGGGTTTGGGGTGGGTACAGTATAGAAAACTACAGCAGGAGGCTGGGGGTGGGTACAATATAGAGGGGGAGCAGTATAGGAGGGGCCTGGAGGTGGATACAGTATAGAGAGGAGCTGTGTAGTGGGGGACAGGGGTTGGGTGCCGCGTAGAAAACCCTATAACAGGGGACTGGGGGTGGGAACAGTATAGAGGGGAGCAGTATAGCAGGGGACTGGGGTTGGGTATAGAAAACTGTATAGCAGGGGTCTGGGGGTGGGTGCAATATAGAGGGGGAGCAGTATAGCAGGGGACTGGGGATGAGTACAGCGTAGAGGGGGAGCAGTATAGCAGGGGACTGGGGATGGGTACAGCGTAGAAGGGGAGCAGTATAGCAGGGGACTGGGGATGGGCACAGGAGTATGTACAGCATAGAGGGGGAGCAGTATAGCAGGGGACTGGGGATGGGCAGAGTGTAGAGGGGGAGCAGTATAGTAGGAGACAGGGCCCAGTATAGAGGGGTCCTGAAGTTGGGCACAGTATAGAGGGGAGCAGTATAGCAGGGGACTGGGGATGGGTATAGAAAACTGTATAGCAGGGGTCTGAGAGTGGGTGCAATATAGAGGGGGAGCAGTATAGGGGGAGACAGGGCCCAGTATAGGGGGATCCTGGAGTTGGGCACAGTGTAGAGGGGTAGCAGTATAGCAGGGGACTGGGGATGGGCACAGGAGTATGTACAGCATAGAGGGGGAGCAGTATAGCAGGGGACTGGGGATGGGTATAGAAAACTGTATAGCAGGGGTCTGAGAGTGGGTGCAATATAGAGGGGGAGCAGTATAGGGGGAGACAGGGCCCAGTATAGGGGGATCCTGGAGTTGGGCACAGTGTAGAGGGGTAGCAGTATAGCAGGGGACTGGGGATGGGTACAGTGTAGAGGGGTAGCAGTATAGCAGGGGACTGGGGATGGGCACAGTGTAGAGGGGGAGCAGTATAGCAGGGGACTGGGGATGGGCACAGCGTAGAAGGGGAGCAGTATAGCACGGGACTGGGGATGAGTACAGTATAGAGGGGAGCAGTATAGCAGGGGACTGGGGTTGGGCACAGGGGTATGTACAGCATAGAGGGGGAGCAGTATAGCAGGGGACT